ACCGGCGGCGCGGCCGGCGGGGGCGGCGGCGGCGCGGCCGGCGGCGCGGCCGGCGGGTCCGCGGCGGCCGGGGCCGCGGCGGGGGCCGCGGCGGCCGCGGCCGGGGCCGCGCGCGGCTCGAGGGGCGGCGCGGCGACGTAGGTCCGCGACATGACGAGGCCCCGGCCCGCGGACGCGTGGCCGCGCATCTCGAAGGCGCCGTAGGCGTTGGCGCCGGCGCCCGCGAAGGCGTACGCGGACCGGCCGTCGCCGTCGTTGGTCTGCGTGATCGTCAGCGTGAGCCGCTGCTCCGACACCGGGACGCCGTCGACGCGGAAGCCGCCGGAAAAGTCGAGGGGCGCGCCGGAGACGAGGGGCCCCGGCGCGGCGTACTTGAAGCTCCAGGCCGCGCCGTCGCGCTCGAGCGCAGCCCACGCGGCCGGGCCGTCGTCCGTCGACCAGACGCCCGCGAGCGTCGGCGGGTCGCGGCGGAAGGTGCCGCGCATGTGCACCGTCGCCGCGGGCGCGTTGTCCGCGGGCGCGCGCGCGGCCGCGACCTTCTTGCGCTTCACGTTCGCGGGCCGCTTCGCGTCGTGGTGCGCGCAGAAGTCGGGCAGGTCCGGGTGCAAGAGCGCGGCGAGGCCGAGGCGCGTCGTCTTCGCCGTGTAGTCGATGCCCTCCTTGCGGCACTCGGCCTCGAGGAGCGGCCGCGTCTCCGTGGACTTGACGAAGTGGCAGCAGACCGTGCGGTCCCGCTTCCGCCGCGGCGCGCCGCCGCCGCCGCCGCGCTTGCCCTTGCGGCCGCCGCCGCCCGCGAGCGCGAGGTGCGGCGCGATCCAGGGCGAGTGGCGCACGACGAGGGCCCACTCCTCGAAGAGCGCGTAGTGCAGCTCGTCGAGCGTCGGGAACGACGTGAAGCCCTCGGCGAGGCGGAAGCGGAACTCCTCGAGGAAGCGAACGCGGAACGCGTCGTTCGACGTCGACTCGAGCAGCGCGTCGACGGACCGGAGGCACTGCTCCTCGTGGCTCAGGTCCGTGCCCTCGAAGTCCGGCAGGCCGCCGTCGCCCACGGGGAACGGGAAGAGCTCCTCGAAGGCCTCGGAGCGGCTCGGCGCGGGGGGGAGCGGCGTCGTCGCGACGGGGCAGCGCCGCTGCGGGGCCGTCGCCGGCGGGGGCGGGGGCGTCGTTTGAGTGGTGGCGGGCGTCGCGCCGGGCGCCGCGGCCGCCGGCGGCGGGGGCGCCGCCGGGGGCGCGACGCCTGTTTCCGCGGCGAAACGGGGCTCGGGCGCGGCGAAGGGCGTCGCGGCGGGCGTCGTCCCGGGCGCCGCGGCCGGCGGCGGCGGGGGCGGAGTGGTGAGGGCGGCGGAAGGCGGCGGCCCGGCGGGCGGCTGCCAACTGGCGGCTTCGGCGGCCATCGTGAACTCCTCGCGCGCCGGAGCCGAGCCGGCCGAGTCGCCGCGCGGGCGCCGCGGCCGGGCCGGTGCGCCAGCGAGCTCGCCAGGCCTCTCGCCCCCATCCTCCAAGAAGCCTCCAAGACGCGGTAGGTACCGGCGGGGTGTCCGTTACGGGCAAAACGCTAGGCGCGGCGCTGCTCGACGGGGACGAGCGAGATCGGGTAGCCGCCGGGCGCCACGGGGTAGGGCCGCACGGCGCAGCGCGGGCCCGGCGGCGGCGGCGCGAGGCCCGGCGCGGGAGGGAGCGCGGCGCCGGCCGGCGGGTGCGGCGCCGCGCGCGCGACGAGGTCCATGGCGACGCAGGAGCGCTTCGCCGGCGCGGCGCAGGTCAGGAGGCCGCGCTCCACGGGGACCATGAGCTCGTCGGCGTCGTCGCGGTCGCGCTTCCGCCGCCGGTCCATGGAACTGTGGCGCGGGAACTCGTAGCCCAGGAAGGTGCCGCCGCGCATGGTCTCGCGGACCTGGGCCGCGAAGCCGTTGCGGTCCGCGAGCAGCGCCCGCGCCGCCGCGCCGTTGGCCGCGTGCTCCGGGTTGGGCTCGAGGAAGAGGAGCTGGAGCCCGAAGATGACCGTGTTGATGGAAAGCACGGGCTTCCAGTCGCGGTCCAGCAGCGGGTGCGACACGCGGCCGCCGTCGACGCAGACGTTGGGGTGCCAGACGCGCGTGAGGCAGTAGACCGACGGCGGCCGGAACGGGTAGTTCGTCGGCACGCGGAGCGACAGCGCGAAGGACCCGCCTGCGGGGCGCCGCGGTCGCGGCCGCGCGGGGCGGGGCGGGGGGGGGGGGGCGACGGCGCGCGCGCGTCTCGCGAGGACGCGGCGCGCGCGCCGGCGTAGAAGCCGGACGTGAGCGAGATGGTCACGTGCATGTTGAGGATGTCGCCCTCGGGGAAGTCGATGTGCGTCGACGCGTGCGGGCACGTGAACTTCTGGCTCGCGAGCTCGACGAGGTCCTTCTTCACGCGCAGCTCGCTCGTGATGAGGCCCCGCTGGCCCGCGGCGAGGGGCATGGTTCGCCGCGTTTGTGCGGGCGAAACGGCCCGGGAAAGGTCGTGGACGGAAAAGCCGCGTTCGCGGGCCGGCGCGCGGCGGCCGGCGGGCGCCCGGGCGGGGGTCGCGCGGTCGCACGGGCGCGCGGCGCGGACGTCGGCTGCCGGGGGTCGCGGAAGGGCGCGCAGGCAAGGCGCGACGACTGTTTGAGCTGCGTCGGGCGAATCGGCTCGAGGCAAAGGCGCGTCGTGTAGACCATGTGTAGACCCGGCAGACAACCTTGGCTCTTTGACGGGGCTGCGATGCTCGATGCCTGAATCGCGCATTGCGATGCTTGGAGGCTTAGAGGCTGTCGAAAATCAATAGGGACCAACAGTCTCGCTGATCTGATCCAGGGCGCCCACGCTTCGCAAGCTAGACGCGCACACCTCCATGAGCTTGATGAACGCCTCCGGGCTGCCGGAGGCGCGCGCCCCGGCCGGCGCGAGCCTGGCCCTCCTGGGCTGCGGCCTGCTCTTCCTCGCCGACGTCCTGCGCGAGCTGGCGCGCCCCGTGAAGCCGTCGCTCCACCACAGCGCCGAGGCCGCGCCCGTCGCGCGCGCGGCGGTCCGCGCCGGCGCCGCGGAGCCCTGGGCGGGAAACAAAATATTCAACAAGATTTCAACGTGCAATTATTCGACCGTTTCGACGCGACTTGTTGTGCTCGCCGTCGAGATTCGACGAGAGCAATCGATTCGTCCAAAAATCGGTCACATCGACTTCCGAGCTAGAGAATTTTGCAGTTTGGTCAGGGCCCCCTGAACCGGTGGTTGATTTCGGCACAGGCGGAGCCCTGGCGGTCGTCGTTCGCGTTCCTGGGACGGTGGCTCTCCGCGCACGCGCAGACCTGCGCCTACGGCCTGTCGTGGCGCGCGCCGCGCGTCGCCTTCGCCGTCGACGCGTGGACGACCGACGACGGCGGCACGCTCTCGCTCGCGTGGCCGACGAACGCCGTCGAGGACCCCGTCGGCGTCGCCGTCGTCCTGCCGGGCCTCGGCGGCGACGCGCGGGGCCAGGGCCACGCCGTCGACGCGTGCGCGCGCGCGGGCCTCGCCTGCTGCGTCTTCCAGCGCCGCGGCGACGGCCAGCCGCTCACGTCGCCGAGGTTCAACCTCTTCGGCGACACGCGCGACCTCGACGAGGCCGTCGAGCGCGCGCGGCGGCGCTTCGGCGCCCTGCCCGTCGTCCTCTACGCGACGTCCGCGGGCACGGGCTGCCTCGTGCGCTACCTCGGCGAGCGAGGCGCCGCCGCGCGCGTCGCCGCGGCCTTCTGCAACAGCCCGGGCTACGACATCGCCGTGGCCCTCACGCGCTGCGGCGTCCCCTACGATTCCCACTACTACCTCGCGGGCGTCAAGCGCCACTACCTCGGCGCCAACGGCGCCATGCTCGCGGCGCGCGACGCCGACGCGCTCGCGGCCTGCGACAAGGCGACGTCGCTCCACGGCTTCCTCGCCGCCGCCGCGCCCTTCGCGGGCGCCGCGACCTTCGGCGAGTACCTCCTGCGGAGCAACCCCATCGGCACGGCGCACGACATCCGCGTGCCCATCCTCATCCTCAACGCCGACGACGACCCGATCTGCTCCTCCAAGAACGTCGACGACCACATCGCCCTCTTCCGAACCCACCCGACGGCGGTCCTCGCGCGGATGCCGCGCGGCGGCCACTGCGGCTTCTACGCGGGCCGGCCGTGGCGCGCGGAGCCCCGCGGCCACGCGCTCGGCGCCCGCTTCCTCGCCGCGGTGCTCGCGGGCGACGGCGACGACGGGCCCTAAGTTCACCGACGTTAGGACGCCTGGGAGTCGAGGGACGAGTCCCGGCGCGGCCGGAGCGCCGTGAGCGCGTCGAAGCGGGCCTGGAGGTCGGCCTCGGGCGGCGGCGCGGCCGGCGCGGCCGGCGCGGCCGGCGCGGCGGCCGCGTCGTCCCGGCCCGCGTCGGGCGCCGGGCTCGGCGCCGCGGAGCGCGCGGTGTCGTCGACGGCGACCTCGAGGCGCCGCGTGTGGATCGCCGCCGCCGCGCGGGACGCGTCGAAGAGGAGGTCCCGCGCGTAGAGCCGCGCGTCGACGGCGACGCCCGCGCGCGCCGTCGCGGCGCTCAGCACCGTGTCGCCGCGGTCCGACCGGAGCGACGCGCGGAGCGTCGCGCGGAGCTCGAATTTGCGGAACTTGGAGTCGTCGTCGCCTAAAACGTCCGCCTCCAGAAGCCGCAGCACCTCGAGCCCCTCGGCGCAGGCGACGCCGTCGACGGGGCCCGGCCACCACCGTCGGAGCAGGTCCGCGTCGCCGAAGAGCGCGAGGAGCTCGCGGACGACGTCGGCCGATTCGCCGCGGACGCGGAGCGCGCCGACGGCCGCGCGCGCCTCGAGCGCCGGGTCCACGGCCGCGCGGAGCGCGACGCCGCGGCCGCCGTCGGCGGCCGGCGCGGGCGCCGCGCCCGCGCGCCGCGCGAGGCCGCCGTCGACGGCGCCGCCGGCCGCGACCGCCGCGACGCGGTCGCCGCGCGCCGCGTCGGCCGCGAGCGCCAGGGCGAGCGACGGGCGCCGCGCGACCACCGAGAGCCACGGCGGCGCGCCGACGTCGACGGCGACGCCGTCGTTCGACGCCGACCGCGCGACGTCCACCGGCGCGGCGCCCAAACTCTCGCGCACGCGCGACGCGGACTCGCGCGCGAGCCGCGACGCGTCGTCGCCGCCGCCGGCGTCCGAGTCGTCGGAGCCGTCGGAGTCGTCGTCGAAGCACGCCGCGCGGCGCCCCGGGAGCGCCGCGGTCTCGGCGTCGTCCGCCGCGTCGTCGTCGTCGTCGTCCTCCGCGCCGCACGCGCGGACGGCGACGTCGAAGGGGCAGTAGGACGCCGCGGCGCCGCGCGCGAAGCCCGCGGGGTCCAGGAGCGCGCGCGCGTCGACGACCGGCGGCGCGCCGAGCGCCGCCGCGGCGTCGCGGACGTCGACGGCGAGGACGCCGCCGCCGCCGCCCGAGAGGCGCACGTCGACCGTGCCCGCGTCGACGGCGCGGACGACGGCCGCGAGGCCCTCGAGGTCCGCCGCGCCCTTGTCGCGCATGAGCGTGAGCGCGCGCGCCGCGCGCGCGCGGTCGCCGTCGCCCGCCGTGGCCGGCGCCGCGACGTCCAGCCGCCGCTCCTGGGCCGCCCAGAACCGCGCGTGCGCCGCGCCGAGCGCCGCCGCGCCCGCGAGCGTCGGCAGCCGCAGCGACACGGCGACGGGCCGCCGCCGGAGGCGCGTCGCGGCGCCGGCGACGTCGGCCCAGCGCCAGCGCCGCGGCGCCGCGAGCCCCGCGGACAGGATCGTCGCCGCCTCGGCCCAGGCCGCGCCGAGGCCGTGGCGCTCGGCGCCGCGCCGCGGGTTGCCCGTCGCCGGCGGCTCCGGCGGCGGCTCCGTCGTCGCGAGGTAGCGCGCGACGTCCCGGAGCGACGCGAGCGGCTTCCGGGCCGCGCCGTCCTCCGCGAAGAGCGTCCGCTGGGCGTCGTCGAAGCCCCGGGCCTGGTCCAAGGTCCAGCCCACGAGCCGCCGCGCCGCGGCGGCGTCGTCGCCCTCGCCGCCGAGCGGCGCCGACGCGACGCCGTCGGCCGGCGCGGCCTCGACCTCGAACTCGCCGGCGACGACGAGCGGGCTCCGGAGCTCGAGGACGAAGTCGCCGAGCTCCGGCGCGAGGGCCGCGCGGACGCGCTCGCGCAGCGTCGGGCGCACGAGCTTGAGCACGAGGGAGGCCGTGGTCCGCGTGACCACGCCGGGCGCGGACCACTTTTTCAGGGACGCGGCGAAGCCGTCGACGGCCCAGCGGCCCTCGGCGTAGCGGAGCCGCGCGGACACGGCGACCTGGCAGCGCACGGACACGCGGCGCACCTTCATCGTCGGGACCTTGGACCCCTTGCCGCCGACGATCGCGAGGCGGTCGACGGCGACGGTTAAAGCGACGCCCGCGTCGTCGCCCGTGCCCTGCGCCTCGACCATGACCTGGGGCATGCCGACGTCCGCCGGGTGCGCGTGGACGATGAGCTGGCCCGCCATGCGCTCGACGTGACAGTCCATGACGCCGACGCAGACGCCGCCCTCGCCGCGGAGCACGTGGCTCGGGTCGAAGCCCGGCAGCGCCGCGCGCTTGAGCGCCGCGTCCTCGGCCGCGGAGCTCCGCGCGGCGCGCGCCAGGAGCAGGTCCGCGGCCGCGGCGCCCTCGTCCGTCGCCGCCTCGCCGCCGAGCGCGTCGGCCTCGGCCTTGAGGCGCGCGGCCTCGGCGCGGTGCGCCGCGGCCTCGGCGGCGAGCCGCCGCTTGCCCTCGGCGTCGAGCGTCGCGCGCCGCCGCTCGTCGGCGTCCAACGCCCGCTCCGCGACCTTGATGGCCATGGCCAGCGCGACGGTGCGCGCGTGGCGCTCCGCCGGCGCCATCGCGAGCGCGCGCGCGAGCGCCGTGGGATCCGCCGACCGATCGCGCGCGGGCTCCGGCGCGGGCGCCGGCGCCGGTGCCGGCGGCGCTGCCTCGTCCGTCGCATCTTCCGCCGCGGCGCCGGCGGCCGGCGGCAGGGCGACGCGGCGCCGCCGGCCGCGCGCCCACGTGCGCCATCGACAGACGGCGGTCAGCGACGCCTTGGGTTTCGGTTGTTCGCTGCCGAAGGTCCGCGCGTAGACCCAGCCGTGCGGATCCGTGCGCTCGTCGATGCGCACGCGCCAGGACGCGTCGGTCCAGCTCTCGCCGCGCCCCAGCGGCGCCGCGGCGTCCGGCCCGTCGCCGCCGCCGCACGCGGAGGCGTAGTGGCGCGGGTCGCTCGCGAAGAGGTTGCGGCTGCTCCAGCCGCGCGTCGGCACGTAGCGCTCGTTCTGCGAGATCTCGACGACGTCGAGCTCGAAGACGTCCATCCGGTTGCCGCAGCGCGGCGCCGGCCGCGCGCGCGCGAGCAAGCGCAGCCAGAGCGCGAGCTCGAGCTCAGCGATGCAACTTGTACTTCAGCCAAGTACGTTTCCCCCGATCGTCGCGTGCGCGCGCGGGCGCAACCAGAGCGCGAGCTCGAGCTCAGCGATGCAACTTGTACTTCAGCCATGTACGTGCCCCCACTCCCAGTCCGCTTACCCCCCCGGCGCGGCGCCGCCGCCGCGGCGCGGCACGCAGCGCGCGTCGCCGAGGTCGCCCGGCGCGGCGTCGTCCGGCCGCGGCCACGTCGCGAGGACGTCGTCCGCGCCGTGGACGGCGACGTGCGCGCGCTGCGCGACCGTCGCGGAGAAGGCGACGGCCGTGCGCGCGAGGAGGGGCACCCTGTGGCCCGCGACGACGAGCTGGCGCAGGCCCACGTAGACGGACGCGCCGATGGCCGTGGCGAGCGCGTAGGACTGGCCGCCGATGGCGATGTCGCGGCGGCAGAGCACGTCCCGGAAGATGCCCCCCGCGCAGATCGTCACGCCCGTGGCGACGCAGGCCAGGGGGGGCAGGCCCCGCGTGATGCCCGCCTGCGCGCCGATGACGGCGACGGCGCCGAGCGCGACTGTTTCCAGCCCATACAGGAGCGACCCGTCGAGGACCTGGAGCCGCGCGACGACGCGGAGCTCGGGCTCGTGGAGCCAGGCCGTGCCGTCTTTGTTCAGGTACTCGAAGATGAGCGCGGGCCGCAGGGCCGGCGCGGCGCCGCACGCGTCGCGGACGCGCGCGTCGAGGTGGGGCTCGACGGCCGCGGCGATGCGCGCGCCGAGGGCCGGGCGCCGCGCGAGCGCCGCCTCGAACTCGTCGAAGGACAGCGACGTCGCGCCCGGCGCCGCGCCCGCGGCGTCGAGGAGCTCGGAGAAGCGCGCGTGCGCCGCGGCCTCCTCCCACCGCGGCCAGAAATAGAACGTCGCCGCGGACGCGAGCAACGCGACGGCGAGGAACCGCGGGTCCCTTAGCCAGAAGACGCCGCCCCGCGCGGCGCCCGTGAGCAGGTTGTTCACCGTGCCGCCGCCGGTAGCCGCGACGCAGCCCACGAGGCACGCGCCGACGACGTTCATGCCCGCGACGCCCGCGCATTGCGCGCCGATGACCGCGAACAAGGCCGTCGACCCGAAGTCCAGGACCTCGAGCAGCCGCTGGCCGGGCGTCCGCGCGCCCGTGTTGACGATGTAGGACCCGAGGAAGTCCCGCTCGTCGCCCGCGCGGCCCGCGGCGTCGACGGCGGCCGCGTAGGCCGCGCGCGACTCCGCGGGCGTCGCCCGCTTCACGTCGCCCCTCACCTCGTCGCACTCCTCGGGCGACAGCGGCACGCCGAGCGCGCGCGCGCGGCCCTCGACGTCGAAGGTCTTGGGCAGGCTGCTCAGCGGGGCGACGCGCCGGGGTGCCGCCCCGACGGAGCGGATCGACGCGACGGCGGCGACGCTCCGACGGGCCGGCCAGTGACAGAGCGGGGCCGCGCGGACCCGGCCGAGGGCGCGAGGAAGCCCCAACATCGTGCTTTTTCAGCGTGTGTAATTCAGCGTTTCATCATCCACATCAACTTGGAGACGAGTTTTGTTGCCGTGCCGATCTATAGATCGAAGGCCTCAATCTCCGCGTCGTTCGTAGCAATGAAGGCGGGCTGGCGGTGTCCGACTCGAAGCATCACCGCTCCAAATGCTGCCTCGCCTCGTAACCGCCGCGCCCGCCTGCGCAGGTCGCCCTTTTCGCTACGCTCGCCGCGACGGCTTCGGCCCTCGCGCCGTCCAAGCTCGACCGCCGGTCGTTTTTCAAGACCGCCGCCGCCGTCGCCGCCGGCGCGCCGGCCGCCGCCTTCGCGACGTACCGCGGCGCGACAGCAGCGCAGCGAATCATTGGCCGAAGAATAGAGGCGAGAGCGGGACGCGGGACCGGCCGCGCGGACGCGCTCGCGCGCGGCGCGCTCGCCCCGCGGCGCCGCCTCACTCGCCGCCGCAGGCTACCCGACGGAGGACATCCCCAAGTTCGAGCCCAAGGAGAACTTCGCGACGCTTTACCCCGACAAGAAGATCCTCCTCGAGAAGAAGTCGCCGGTGGACCGCATCGACCTCGCGCCGCCGGGCTTCAAGACGTACAAGAACACGTACCCGGGCCTCTTCGGCGACCGCGGCATCGTCACGGCGCCGGAGGTCAAGCCCAAGGCGCCGCCGCCGGCCGAGGCCGCGCCCGCGCCCGCGGCGTAGGGGGCACGCGGCGCCGCCCCTTCCTAAAGCACGGACCCCTGCATCGCCGCCCCTTCCCCCGAGAACTCGGGCCTGCGCCGCCTTAGGGAACGCCCCGCGCCCGGGCTCTAGAGCCACGCGCTCCGCTCGCCCCTCCGGCGGCCGTGGGCGCTGCAGCCCGAGCAGAGCCAGACGCCGAGGTCGTCGCCCCAGCAGCCGCCGTCCACGACCTCGTCGTCGCGCACGGGCTCCGGCGCCTGGAGGAGCGCGAGCTGCGCGCGCTCGTGCTCGACCCGCTCGCGCTCGAGGTCCGCGAGGCCGCGCTCGACCTGTGTGCAAATCTTCAAGCCGACTTCAATGTGCGCGTATTCGACACGAGCTCTTCGGCTGTGCTTCGAGAACTTGATGAGAGAACTCGATCCGTCCAAGAATCAGCCGAATCGACTTCGATGTGACCGAGCTCGAGAATTTCAAAGTTTGGTCGGGACGTCCCAAACCGGCGGTTGATTTGCACACAGGCGTCGACCTGGAAGCGGTGCCGGTGCACCTTGGTCTGGAGCTGGATGATCTCCCGCGTCAGCTGCATGCGCCGGTCCGGGTCGCCGTGGTTGATGTGGCGCAGCAGGTGCGACACGAACTCCTTGCCTGCGGGCGGCGGGGCGGCGTCGGGCGCGCGCGCGCTCAAAGTCGGTGCCGGCGCGGCGCCGCGCGGGAGAGCTGCTGGTCGTGGTTCTCGTCGAGCACGTCGACGAGCTTGAAGCCGACGGCGCGCAGCTCCGCGCCCGAGATGCACTCGTTGGGCTGCTTCAGGTCGTCGAAGATGGCGTCGAGCATCGTGTGGGGGATGTCGACGCTGTCCTTCGAGGTCGTGAAGCCCTTCTCGAAGGTGTCCTGGATCGATTTGCGCACGCTCTTGCGCTCCGCGGACGACGGCGCCACGCGCGCGTGCGCTGACGGCGTCGACGCTGTCATCGTGATTTTTATCGCAAAAGAACAGACGATCTTTTTGACGTTTCAAGATCTTTTTTGACGCCGGTCGCGATCGGCGGGCCCCGGGCCGGAGCCCGGCTCTCTTGAGGGCTTCTTGAGGCCGGCCGCGCGACTTGCCGCGCGCCTAGGCCGCGCCCCGCGCCCGCATCGCGGCGGCCCGGTTACGACCCCTAGACGGAGATGACGGAGTCCTCGGAGAGGCCGCCGAAGGGCTCGAGGCCGCCGTTGTGGAAGGACGCCTCCTCGTCGTCCGAGTCCGCGGCGTGTGGCCGGTCGCCGAAGGGCGGGTCCGGCGGCGCGGCCGGCGCCGCGGGCCGCGCGGCGGCGGCGGGCGCCTCGCGCGCGGCCGCGGGGCGCCGCGCGGCGGCCTCGGCGACGGCCGGCGGCAGCTTCGTCGCGCGGACGCGCGCGAGCGACGCCTTGACCTCGACGTCCGTGGGCTGCATGGCGTCCTTGAGCTGGTGCCACGTGGCCGCATTGCGCTTGACGAAGCCGAGGTTCGTCGCCGCGTACTCGAGGAGCGCGCCGCGGAGCTCGAGCGCGCGGCCGGCCTCGAAGCGGCCCTGCTCGCCCGCGAGCGCTCCGTCGACGGCGCGCTCCGCGGCGACGGACGCGTCGCGCGCGGCCCGCGCGGCCTCGAGGCGCGCCGTGGCCACGTGGACGCGCTGGGAGCCGTCGACGCCGCCCGCGCGCGCGGCCGCGAGCCGCTGGATCGCGCGCTCGAGGTCGCGGCGCGCGCGCTGCGTGTCCGCGCGCGCGGCCTCGCGGTCGCCCGCGGCGTCGCGCGCGGCCTCCATGAGCGCCTTCTGGTAGCGGAGCTGCTCGAGGAACTCGGCGACCTCGTGGTCCACGTGGTCCTGCGCGCACGTGCCCACGGCCTCGACCTTGGCGCCCAACGCGGCGACGAGCGCGCCCAGCGGCTCGCCGCCGCCGGCGGCGGGCTCGGCCTCGTCGCCCGGCGCGCCGTCGACGGCGCCGCCGGCGAGCGCGAGGTAGCGGCCCGCGCGGCAGGCCTCGTAGGCCGCGGCGCGCTTCGCGCGGACGACGGCCTCCGCGGCCGCGCGCGCGCGCTCGACGGCCGGCAGCAGCTTGGCGACGCGCGCCGTGAGCGGCGACGCCGCGGAGCCCTCGAGGCCCGGCGGGCCGTAGGCGCTGTGGGCGCCCAGCGACTCCTTGAGCGTCGACGACAGCGCGCCCGCGGCGGAATGGGCGACGCCCGCGGCCGCGCCGAGGCCCTCGCGCGCGGCGCCGAGCAGCCCCGCGGCGGCCGCGGACCACGTCGCCGGCGCGGGCGGCGGCGCCTCGGGGGTTTCGTCCTCCGCCGCGCCGTCGGCGCCGTCGAGGAGCGCGCGCGCCGCCGCGAGCCCCGCGGGCGACCTGGGCAGCAAAAGGGTGCGACATTCCCAACTTCAAAGGCTCCTATCTCGGCCGTTTTCCGCTCGTTTCGGCTGATTTTTGGACGAGCGATCATCTCTCGGAGCGCTCTCGAAGCGTGGGTGCTGTTTCCGAAACGCGCGCGCGCGGAACACTCACGTTGAAGCGACGTTGAATCACCCTGTTCCAGCCCCGCGGGCGACGCGTCGAGCAGCGCCTGGACCTCGAGCGACCCCCGGAGCTTCGGGTGCGCGACGACGCGGTTCGCGAAGCGCGTCAGCGACTCCATGCGCTCGCGCACGAAGTCGTGGGACGTGTTGTTCGCCCAGCGCTTCGGCGAGAGCAGCGGCGGCACGACGACGCCCGGGCGGCTCCGCCGGAGCCGCTCGCGGCACCACTCGAAGTCGGAGAAGCGGCGGAGCACGCGCATCTCGCTCCGCCCGTAGTGGGCGCAGGTGGACCGCGTGCGCACGGCGTACTGCGTGAACTGCTGGAGCCCCTCGCCGACGAGCTGGGGCGACATGACCTTGACGATCGAGCCGCCCGCGCCTGGGCAGGACAAGAGAGATTCAACGTCGCTTCAACGTGAGTGTTCCGCGCGCGCGCGTTCCGGAAAAAGCATCCACGCTTCGAGAGCGTTCCGAGACAAAAATCAACCGAAACGAGTGGAAAACGGCCGAGATATGAGGCTTTGAAGTTGGGAATTTCGCTCTCTTGTCCTGCGCTGGCCCGCGCCCGGCCGGCTCGGCGGGTCCCCAAAGTCCGGCGGCGCCCACTCGCGCAGGCCGTCGGCGACGAGCGGCAGGGCGTCGTCGCCCTCGAGGTCGACGCCGGCCGCGGCCAGCGCGCAGAGGCGGCAGGCGACGTGCCAGCCCGCCTCGCCGAGCGCCGCGTCTTCCCCGCCGGCCGTCGCGGCCGCCGCGAGCGCGTGGCAGCGCGCCACGGCGGGCTCGGACGCGAGGCACCGCCGCAGGAACGCGCGGCTCTCGCCGGGGCTCAGCAGGCCGTCGCCGTCGCCGTCGGCGACGAGGAAGAGCGCGCGGAAGAGCGCCGCCTCCTCGGCGCTCAGGACCACCGGCGCGCCGAGGCCCGCGCAGCCGACGACCTGCACGCCGCCGGACGCCAGGGATTCGATGGTCGCGCCGCCGCTCGCCCGCGCCGGCGGGAGCTGGAAGGGCTCCTCCATGGCGCGCGCTGCGACGCGAAGTCTCCGCGGCGTCCGCTTTTGAGTTTGTTATGGCACCCCTTCTTCAACATTAATGCAACCATCGAGGTTGAAGATACCTACCTCGGCTTACGCGCCGTCGTCGGGTCCCTCGTCGTCGACGGTGGCGTTGTAGCGGATGCGCCAGGGCCCCGTCGCGCAGTGGACCGTGAGGAGGGGCACGCGGCCGTCGCCGTCGCGGCGCCGCTTCCGCCCGCGCGGCGGCCCGTCGCCGCCGGAGCGCGGGCCCTCGCTTGGCACGCGCGCCGCGTCCGCGAGGGCGTCGAAGGCCTCGGGCTCCTCGCCGAGGGCCGCCGCGAGCGTGCGGCCGTAGCGGCGGAGCGCGCCGGACGCGTCGGCCTTGAGCTCCTCGTAGGCCGTGTCCTCGACGTGGGGCGCGCGCCTCAGCCAGCACGTGTGGTGGTTGATGGCCCTGCGGAGCTCGAGGCCGAGGTCGCCGAGCGTCGCGCCGCCGCCGAGGAGCGACGCCGCGAGCGCCGTGGGCCGCCGGTGCGTCGTGAAGACGAGGCGCCGCCGGCACGCGCGGCCCGCGAGGTTCGGGTCGAACTCGTGGCTCTTGATGAGGAGCACGTCCCCGGCCGTCGCGGACGCGAGGCGCTCGCGCGACGCCGCGGCCGCGCGCGCGCGCGCGTCGTCGCCGCCGCCGCCGCCGCCGGCGTCGAGGTCGCCGTCGGACGCGAGCCAGTGCCAGTTCCAGTAGAAGCGCTTCGGCTCGACGCCCAGCAGCGCCAACGCCTCCTCGATGAGGCGCACCTGCTCGCCGGAGCCCGCGCGCGCGACGCCCGCGGCGACGATCGCGAGCTTGCACGCGCGCGGCGGCGGGTCCTGGGCCAGGTCCTCGCCGCCGACCTTGACGCCGCTCCAGAAGCTGCACTGCGGCGGCCGGTGCGCGCGGCAGGGCACGTCCTTGAAGCGGTCGCCGCCCGTCGCGCGCGCCTCGACGCACCACGACGTGTCGCACGCCGCCGCGGGGTCCGGCGCGCGCGCGGCCTTGGCCAGGACGGACCAGGGCGGCCGCGTCGCGCGGAGCCGGAGCACGTGCTCCGTCATCGACGACTTGCCCGTGCCGTAGAAGTGGCGCGCGTTCGCGGCGACGAGCTGCTCGACGACGCCCTTCTCCGCGAGCGAGAGCCACCGGTAGTCGCCGACGCCGAGGGAGGCGCCCGTCGCGACGCGCCAGCCCGGCGGCGCCTCGCGCGCCATGAGGAAGAGGGGCCGCCGCGCGCGCCGCGCGGACGCGACGACCTCCTCGATGCGGTCGCGCGACGTCCGCGCCTCCTCCGGGTAGAGCGCCTCGAAGGTGTCGCCCGTGCGGAGGTGCGCGGCGTCGTAGTCGCCCTTGAGCGCCTTGACCATGGCCCGGGCGACGTTGACGAGGTGGCCGTGGGCCCGGAGCGCGTGCGTCGGCACGCCGCGGTCGCCCTGGAGCCGGCCGAGCGTCCACCGCTTCGGCGACGACGCGACCTTGTCGCCCGTGACCTCCAACACCTTGGCCGTCGGCGGCTTGAGCAACAAGTCCTCGCAGGCCTCGACGGTGCCGCAGCCGACACTCTCCGCGCCGGCCATCTCGACGGCGAACTGCGCGCGGCCGACCTGGGCAGGACAAGAGAGATTCAACGTCGCTTCAACGTGAGTGTTCCGCGCGCGCGCGTTCCGGAAAAAGCATCCACGCTTCGAGACCGTTCCGAGGGATGATCGCTCGTCCAAAAATCAGCCGAAACGAGTGGAAACCGGCCGAGCTAGGAGGCTTTGAAGTTGGGAATTTCGCTCTCTTGTCCTGCCCCGCGGCCGACCCAGGGCACGCCGAGGTGGTCGCAGTCGAAGACGTGGCACGTGTAGGTCGGCGCGCCGTCCTCGGCGTCGTGGGGCGCGAGCGCGTCGGGCACGACGAGCGTCCGGCCCAATAATTGCGCCATGGACCGCGCGTTCTCGAGCGCGATGCGCTGGTTGTTGAGGCCCTCGGTCTCGACGTAGCCGAGGAAGCGCGCCTCGTGGCCGTAGGGCCGCCGCGCGAAGACGTCGACGCCCCGCTTCCGCCCGAGGCTCCGCGACGGCGGCGCCGCGGCCGTCGCGTTGCACGGGTTGCCCGGCTCGAACGCGTCGCAGCGGCCGCGCTCGACGCGGTCCACGTAGTGGCGGATCCAGAAGCGCGCGTGGTTGAGCCGCCGCGTCGGCGCGCAGGCGTCGCGCTTCGGCCAGGAGATGCCGTGGATCCACGCGAAGGACACCAAGTTCGCGCGGTAGAGAGCCTTCGGGCGGTGCCTGGGCAGGACAAGAGTGCGAAATTCCCAACTTCAAAGGCTCCTCTCTCGGCCATTTTCCACTCGTTTCGGCTGATTTTGACGAGCGAT